CAACAACCAATCAACCAATATATCATAATAATATTAAATGTTTTTATATATTTAAAGCTAAAGAAAGAAATTAAGGAAAATATTAAGCCCAACCCTTTGTGCAAGTGAGAAAAAAACACATAGAAACAAAACATCTAAAAACCATGCAGAATAAAAATGAGAAGCTGGAACAAAATTTATCATACATGATGTGAAACGAAAAAATCACGTTACCAGTCAAACAGAACTAAAAATTCATAATACTGATAGAAAAATGAAAACTATGTTATACTTTAAAACACCATAAAAATCATTATCTTTATTATGCATATCAAATGGCATAGCATCTAAATGTTATATATAAAATGTATTATGTGTGTACATATAGATATATGCATATATTCACATGTGTATGTGCATACCTTTTTATAAATCAGTACTTTGCCTCTGCAATTAGTTCTACTTAAACTACTTTGATACCACTTTTTAAATAATGATATTACTTTTATTTTTTTAAAAAATCTTTAAAAGGCTTAAGAACTCTATTTTCCCCCCCAATTTATTTATTTTTAGTTTTCAATATTTACTTCCACAAGATTTTGAGTTCCAAATTTTCTCCCTATCCCTTCCCTCACCCCACCCCAAGACGGCCTGCATTCTGATTCCCCCTTCACCCAAACTCTTCTCCCTTACATTACCCCATCCTCTTATTCCCTTCCCCTTCTATTTTCCTGTAGGGTAAGATAGATTTCAATACCCCTTTGCCTGTGTATCTTATTTCCCAATTGCATGCAGAAACAATAACAAACATTCGTTACTAAAACTTTGAGTTTCAAAATTTCTCCCTTCCTCCCTCCCTTATTTATTACTTCTTTAATCATATGTTCCTTGTGGGGTTAAAGCCTGTTAAGTATCAAGTTTCAACTTCCTTTGCTAAGCAATTTCCAGGTTAATATCTTTGTATCATTTACCCCATCATCTTCTCTGGTATGTCTCATTCCTAGAAATATCAATTCAGGAGAAAAGAATATTAGAAATGCACAGTGCCACAAAGCAGAAATTACCATGCCCTGAATCATGTGGCCCAGTCCTATCTCCTGCCTTCTAAGAGAAATGATTATTAGTAACCAATAATATGGAGTGATCCAGAGTTCTCTTCTTCTAAAGTCCTGATTTTAAAAAAATAGAAAGTTCGGTCTCTTGAATGACATTACTGATAATGAGAATTGACTCTCCTCAATCTTGGTCAAACCTCACACAACCACACAAGGAATTTAATCTAAAGTGGGGAAACCCATTGTGTTCTTCTCAAGCTTGGGTGGAGACAGATCCTTTTGTCTAGATACAAGGCTGGAAATAGAATTTAGTCTGAATTTAGAGATAGTTTCTCATCCAAGAGTGACATGATGTCACTCTCAGGCCCTCATTTTAATATAGATCACTTCCTACTGGATTATCCAATCAGAGTTGAATGCCACCCCTCAGGAACACCTACTCTTTGAAGGGTATATAAACCATGAGCCCAGTGCCATGATCGTCTTTGGTCAAAGAGAGACGGACAAACGATCATCCTTTATTAATAAAATGCTGGGGACTTCTGAGGACCACAAAATGGCAGAATAAGCAAAAAAATCGCTGTCTCTCTCCCAGATTCACCTCCAAATAACCAAACAACTATAAAACAGTGCCCCAGAACAAATCCTAGAACATGGGAGTCAGCAGAAAGACAGGGTGGAGCAGTCTTTTAGCCCAGGAGACTTGGAGGATGGGCAAAAAAGTTCCATCTCACTTGGGTAAAAGGGGAGTGGAGTCCAGCACAGGAAGTATCACAGCAAGCCCCACCTCAGCAAACCAGCAGGAGAGCCTGAACCCTAGGGTGGTGAAGCAGGCAAATGCTAACACCAGTACCCCCACGTGCCTTAGCATAGCCAGGAGAACTGGCAGACTCTAGCTCCAAAAAGTACCTTGTGCTTCTGCACAGCCCAGGGCAAACAGGCCTCCATGTGCTTTAGCGTAGCCCCAAGGAAACACAGGACTCCTACTCAGCACCAGGTAAGCTGCTAGACCCCTATAGTCTCCAGCAGCACCAGCCAACCTACATCCCATCCCCACAGCACAGCATCAGACACAACGGTTCCCTGTGGGCCTCAGGACAACATCAGTATAGCACCAAGTAAACAGCCAGGGAATGCAGCCACTAGTACAAGATGCCAAAAAATAAAATGCTGGCCTTATTAATAAAACGATTAAATTACCCAGAAACTATGTCTCTCGAATTGTCACACTTTACTATAATGGTCTCCTTCACAAAGGCCAATACCATCTCATCTCTGGGTTCTATGCATCCTTCCTCTGCCCCCAAAATCATGGTTGGTGCTATTTGCCCTAAGAGATCATATATTCCTTCTCTTTGGTCAGGATGCTGCCCATGAAGAAAGGTGACCTTTCAATGTATTAGCTTTTCTCAGATTAAACTAATCACGAGGTTCTCGTCTTCCAAAACAGACATACATCTCTTAGTCCATGGGTCCTTTAGCCTGTTTTTTTTTGAAGCAGGTCTTTCAATATAAGACACACCTTCAGACCCTTCTCTCATCATTCTTGAATCCTTCCTCTCTTCCTAAGAGACTATAGGAATCATCATTCTTCCTCTATTCTCTTATGGATTTGGTAGGGATGCATCACACATTTCCCTATTCTCCATCTCTCCTTTCCCCATTTATGTACCCTCCTATTCTGTGATTCTGTACTATAAAATATACTGATTCCTGAAGGGACCTCAATCAATTAATAAACATTTATAAAGTGGTTACTATGTGCCAAGCACATAGAAAAAATAAAAAGAGCACAGTACTTCAATTCTGCTCTTCCATATTCACTTGTTTGTTCCACTTACATCTTGAATCCTCATACCCATTTTTATACCTTGATGAACAATCTTTTTCTCTTAATTAAAAAAAGAAAAACACTTCTAAACACAGAGTGATTGATTTTATTATTTACTCTTTGCTTACAGAGTTTTATTTACCTTTTAAAGGTTTCTATTGTTTGGAGTACTTAGAAATCTAGTACTCTGCTTACATTTTTTTTTTCCCAGGAATGCCTGGAATTTCTTCTCCTGTTGAATATCCTTTTTTCATTAATTATTAGCCTCAGGTCTGCAGGACATACGGCATTCTGAGATGCAGCCTGAGCTCCTTTTTGGGGGGAATGTATTATTCTATTCTCCTGAAATTTCTTATGACTATGAAATAATCTTGTATTAAAAACTCCTTACTTACCTATTTGAAAGTTTTCCTCCTCGTAATCTGCAAAAAATGTTATCATCAAAATGGCTGGATTTAATGACTATATCTTGGGTTTCAAAGTGTACATGTGAACGTATATATATGGGTGTGCTTTCTCAAGGCAACCCATGGATTCTCTAAACTGATGCTTTGCTGTCTGTATTAAGAAGTTATGGGTAGTTTTCTGCTCTGTAGTAGTCAGGTTGATTTGTCTGTCACATTCTTCTTGGAGATATATGATCCCTACATTATCTCTGTACATCTTGTTTTCAAGATCAGTAGCTATGGCTTTCATGGAATTCAAGTAATGGTTACCTTTTGCTTCGCTTCTGCTAGATTTTCCATTTCAGTATTTTTGGGTTCCAAATTTGTTAATTTGTCTTTCCTTGCTTATTCTATAACATAGACTGAATTGTTTTCTAATCTGTTAAGTTTTTTTTCATTCTGAACTGAGAGCTCTAAGCTCAGACCAATATTCATCCTCAATTTCTTCTTTTATATAGTTCATTTCTCTTTTGAACCACTACGATATTTCTTCTCTCTTCTGTACACTCTGTTGGGAATCCACAAGATTTTGTATTTCATCTGACACTTGGTTCACTTTTCTTTGTATATCTGTTAAGAATATTTTGTATTTTCTAAGGTTTATTACTTATTCTTCCTGTTCTTTGGGGCTCCAACTGTTGATTTATCTCTCTGCTTATGCTCTGGTCTTTGATTGAGGTTTTTCTCTTCAAATCTTTAGTGTTTCAGTCTTTTTCTTTCTGGTACCCCTCCTCACATTATTATGTTTCTCCTTTGCTGGTGGGTACAGTACCAAAGCTAGGCTGCAATGCTGGCTCAGCCTCCTTCTATTAGAGGATATAAGGTTTGCAGGACTGGTCCCTGTGTAGAGTATCCTCTGAGGAGAGAGGATTGAATCCTGCTGGAACCCTGCCCCAAATCCTCCTTCAGCTTCCATTCTTCTTTCGGAGCAGAGGAGGAGAGTGTTTCAGGCACAGTCTCAAGTTCCTAGTCAAAAGACAGAATATTTTCAGTCTTCCCACCCCCTTCCATTTCAGCTCCAAGTGGCAGGGGAAAGTCAGTGTCTCCTTTAAGGGTGTAGGGAGAGGGGGTGTTTTGGAAAAGTCTCTGCAACAGTACAGAGAAGGATTCTAAGATGAATTTCGGCACAAATTTGCATGTTAGTTTATTCTCCTGCCACAGCACATGGAAGCTGGTGGGTAAAGAATGCTGAAGCTTTAAAGATTAGAGTTCTCTGGTATTAATATTATCACGAGGATTTTACCTTGTGGAATTTTGTCTTCTTTCTCCTTCAGATTTAGCTGTAATTACCCTACATATAGCACATTCTTCCTTTTTGGGGGGAAAGTTAAAGTTATTTTAACTAAGTCACATGGCTTCATCTTGCTGCTCATGGGACCTTATTTTTCAATTACTTATTGATAAAGTAAAATTTCAGTTTTTAAAAAGTAGTTATTTAACTCCAGTTAAATCTCTGTTGTACCTTCCAATTCTGAATTCTGTTATTCCAAATATTATAAAATTTTACTTAAAATTACAGTAATATTTAAAGACTTTTCAATACATGCTGATGAACTATAATGATGTGTGGCTACTTTAAATAATAATGTAACAAACAGTATTTCATTAAAATATACAACAATACAGTAGTTCAGTAAAATGTTTATAATGTTGAAAAGCTCTTTATAAATGCAAATGGAGGAACCATACCTGGCTGCTCTGTGACATCCACTTTTGCAATATTAACCTCAAGATCTTCCCCCGACTCAGCAAAATCTTCCCACTCTGGCTGAAGGTTCTGACAAGCAGGACACCATGGAGCATAACTAGGAAAAAGAAGTAAGTAAAAGACTAAAGATATAGATGGCCAAGAAAAAAGAAAACAATTTTGTTTTAATTGGCACTTTTATTGATTCAGGAAATGTTATTTAGGTTTTATGTGGCTATTAGGTATAAAAAAAAATCTGATGCACAGCAATAATTTTCCATTTCTCCTCTAATACATACACTCTAACTTACTAAGAAAATAATGAAAATCTTGCTAATTCCTTCAAAACTTCCAGATTTTAAAACCGTATGATCTAAGTTTTTAATATCTACAATAACCACTAATAACTCTGAGGAAAATTCAACTTAAGATCTCTAATACATAAACAAACTCCCCTAACAAAATTCATGATATGAATAGTTAACTGTTAACAAATGTAAATTATAGTGTACAAATCCAAATCTGTAAAGAGTATTAAGATATCTATGGGCTGTTCATGATAACAGTTTTTGTAACTGAATTAGAAAATAAATGAAACATGACAAAATGTTAGCTAATAATAATGCTTTTTTTTAAAAAAAATCATCTATCACAACCAAGTCGGGTTTATACCAGGTTCAACAACTAAGAACTATGAATTTAATACAGCAAACAGAAAAACAGAAGGGAAAAGCATCAATAGATGCATAAAAAAAAACCTTTCACAGAAGTCAACATCTATTCATGGCAACTTTTTTTAATCACTAAAAAGAATAGGAAGAAGGAATTTTCTTCTTAACATGGTACCTTCAATATTTCTCAAAACAACATCTCAAACACAAATCTTCCTTAAACCAAAAACTACGGAATGTGAAAAGAGTTACTTGGAAGAGCTCAAAATGGTCTGAGAACCATTCTAGAAAGCAATTTGGAATTATGCTAAAAAGTTACTAAATATAGTATTCTCTTTGACCGAACTATACCATTGCTAGGGCTATACCTCAAGAAGATTAAAGAAAGGGGAAAAGGCACTACATATATATAAATGTTTGTAGCAAATATTTTTATGGTGGCAAAGAAAAAATTGGAAACTAAATAGGGGAGGCACAGCCAAGATGACAGAGGAAAGGCAGGGACTTGCCTGAGCTCTCTCCAAAATCCCTACCAATACCTTATAAGATGACTCTAAACATATTCTACAGTAGCAGAACCCACAAAAAGACAGAGGGAAACAAATTTCCAGGACAAGACAAGTTGGACAATCAGCAGGAAAGGTCTGCTGCAGCAAGGTGAGAGTAGCACAAAGTCCAGAGCAGGTCACATCAACACAAACTGGGTCCCAGCAAACCCAGAGCAGGCCTAAGAACAAATGAATCACTGGCAGCAGTGGTGGTTTCCAGACCTCTTAGCACACACATGCCAAAGACAACTTAGAAGGCCAGCAGGAAAGATCTGTCACATCTGCATGAGAGCACAACCCTGGCCTCAGCAAACCAGGAGCAGGCCTTAGGAATAACTGAATCGGCAGCAGAAGCAGATACTTAGGAGCTCTTAGCCCATAGAGGGTAAAACGGTCTAACAACTGGTCAGAAGGAGATTACAGGGATCTTATTTGCTAGAATGAGGACAGGACTCTGTTGCTTTGCCCATACTCGGATTCGGGTCACATTCCTGGGTGATAGTCTCAGGATGAGGAGTAGCAGTAGTATAGCATGACTTGTGGCAGCAGTGGAGGGGGGGACCTCCTCACAATCCCAGGGTAGAGAGAGTGTTTATGGCCGTTAACAGAACAGAGCACAGGCCAGGAGAATAGTAAACACGCCCCTCCTTAGACCACACCACCTTGGGAGAACTGAAAACTTACAGGTCCTTAGAATTATCTCTGAAAACAGCTGCACAAAACCTCTGAAGCTTGGGATAGCGTGCCCTTCACCCTGGAAGCAGAACCCTACTTTAATAAAGACTTAAAAGTCAAGTAATAGGAATATGAGCAAACAATAGAAAAAAATTTTGACTATAGAAAGTTACTATGGTGACAAGGAAGATCAAAACACGCACTCAGAAGACAACAAAGTCTAAGCTCCTACATCCAAAGCCTCCAAGAAAAATATGAATTGTTCTCAGGCCATGGAAGAGCTCAAAAAGGATTTTGGAAATCAAGTAAGAGAGGTAGAGGAAAAACTGGGAAGAGAAATTTGACTGATGCAAGAAAATCATGAGAAAAGAGTCAACAGTTTGGTAAAGGAGACAAAAAATGAAGAAAATAACAGCTTAAAAAAAAGACTAGGCCAAAAAGAGGTACAAAAATCCAATGAGGAGAAGAATGCCTTGAAAAGCAGAACTGACCAAATGGAAAAAGATATACAAAAATTCACTGAAGAGAAAAACTCCTCAAAAAGTAGAATTGGTCAAATGGAAAAGGAGGTACAAAAGCTCACTAAAGAAAATAATTCCTTAAAAGTTAGAATTGGGCAAGTGGAAGCTAATGACTTTATGAGAAATCAAGAAACAATAAAATAAAACTAAAGAATCAAAAAATAGAAGATGATGTGAAATATCTCACTGGAAAAACAACTGACCTGGTAAATAGATACAGGACAGATAATTTAAAAATTACTGGACTACCTGAAAGCCATGATCAAAAAAAGAGCCTACACATCATCTTTCAAGAAATTATCACAGGGAAAACTGCTCTAGAACCAGAGGATAAAATAGAAATTGAAAGAATCCACCAATTACCTACTGAAAGAGATCTCAAAATGAAAACTCCCAGGAATATTACAGACAAATTCCAGAGTTCCCAGGTCAAGGAGAAAACATTGCAGGCAGCCAGAATGAAACAATTCCAAGTATTGTGGAAACACAATCAGGATAACACAAGACTTAGCAGCTTCTACATTAAAGGGCTTGGAATATGACATTCCAGAGGGCAAAGGCGCTAGGATTGTCAAGAATCACCTACCCAGCACAACTGAGTATAATCGTTCAGGGGGAATAAATGGAAATTCAATGAGATAAAAGACTCTCAAATACAAGACTCAAGAAAAACATAAAAAAGTAAATAGGAAAGGGAAACATAAGGGCCTTGGTAAGTTTAAACTAAAGAAATGCCCATAAATTGACAAATGGCTTGAACAAACTGTTGCTTATAAATGTAATGGCATATCATTATACTGTAAGAGAAGAGAAAAAGATGATTTCAAAGGGACATCTCAAGACTTATATGAACTGATGCACAGTGACTGCCAAGATCTTGGATCACTACAATCATCTAATGCCTGTGTTAATATGCTACTGAATGAAACTGAAGAAAATGATAAAATTGTGCTGACTGCATCCACTACAAGTTTATGTTAAATATTATATGATCTTTTATTACATTAAATATCACTTCACCTGTGAGGGACCTCACAAGGCAATTCCTTTACATGTCTCTAATTAACTCACTAGCCCCACTGCTCTTCTAAATCTTTTCAATCCTTCAGCAAACCTGTCTGGTTCTCACTTCTTTCACCCTCTCAACTGAGAATCTTGCCTTGTATTTTACTGAAAAAAAATGAGGCTATTCACTGAGAGCTCTCTCTTCACAAACCTCTCTACATGTACAAGTGATCCCATTCCTTTCTATCTTCTCTAAGAGTCTGTCTCTTGCCTACTACTGTCACTTACCTTAAATTTCTCTTTACTGACTGCTTCCCTGCTGCCTACAAACATATCCATGTCTTCTCTATCTTTAAAAAATCTCCACTTGATTCATCCATCCCCCCATTAATTCAAACCCCATTTTTTTTAAACATTGGAAGGACCAAGAACATCAACTGACAGTCTGCCTTCTGACCTAATCATTCAAGTGAAACTGCTCTCTCTAAAGTTACCTATTAACAGCCAAATTTAATAGCCCTTTTCTCAATCCAATGTTTTGTTTTTTTTACCTCTCTGCAGTCTTTTATGCTGTCAATCACTCTCTTCTTGATATTCTCTTTTCTTTACATATTTTTGACACTATTATATCCACATTCTCCTCACGGTCTGACCACTCCTCAGTTTCTTTTGCTGGAGCTTCAACTGGAGTGCCCCCACTGACCACAGGTGGCCCCTAGGGCTCTGTTCTGAGCCCTCTTCTCTTCTTTGTCTACACTATTTCACTTGATGATTTCATCTGCTTCCATGGTTTCAACCCTCACCTTTATGCTGATGATTGATTTTCGGTCGTAAGAACTAAAAATCAATACAATGACCATTCGTGATTTCAGAGGTAAAAGATTTAGGACATAGAATGAGACATTTTTGTGTAGAGTTTTCAAGGAATTTATTTGACTATGCATATTTGTTACAAGAAATTTTTCCTTTTTTTTCCCCCTATGGTGTATGGGGTAGAAAGTAGGAAAAATAAATTTTTGTTAATGCAAAAAAAGAGAAGGAAGAGTACTACAAATGTGAAATGTTCTATGGACTTTTAGATAGAGTTACTATACTATTAGTTTTATCTTGTTACAAGGTACTTCTCACAAAATGAGATTCATCTACATTGTCTGTAAAGTTAAAAAATGTCTTTAAAGTAAATGTCTATAAAGTAAAAAGAAAAATGAATAAAAGTTTTTTTTGGGGGGGTTTTGCTTGTTTTGTAAAGCAGTCAAGGGCCTGAGGCTCCTGATCAAGGAACGAGTACAGAAATAAGAAAGAGCTGTGTAGCTGTGACCCTTGAAGTTAAGTGAGGATCTCAGTTCTAGCCCCAGTCCAATTTAAAGCCGGCAGAATAATAATCAGGGCAGAAATTACAGTGTGAAAGAGAACCTGCAATTCTGTCTTTTTGAACTCATTGAGCTTTTAAGTTAGTTGATAATGGGCTGAGTCCAGTAGCAGAGTATTATAACTTCAAGGAGGGGCAAATACACAGGACAGCATTAATGGAGTTCTGAAGCAAAACTCACTCTTCACCACAGATCTACTTTGGGAGAATTAAAAGTATACAGATTCCCAGCCTGAACCGTTCCTGAGATCATAGAATAGGGGGAGTTATGCTTTCCGGAAGCTAATATGTAAGTATGTAATAGTAAATAGTAAGTCACTCTTACCTTC